AAAAAAAAAAGTCTAAGCCACAAATAGGCTTTACTGATTAAATAAAAGTTTTTTCAAAGCCATTATCATATTTTTAAAAAGTTGCTAGGTCATGGAGGTGGAGCAAGAAGACTGATTACAGAGAGAAACAAGAGCTCTCTTACAGTGATAAAAAAAATATTCCATATTTTAGTTTAGTGATAGTTACAGGATTGCAAGCATCAAAACTCACTAAACCATACTTATAAAATTGATGAATTTCATTGCATGTAAACTACACCACAGTAAAAGCTAATTCTTAAAACTGTGTGAGAGGCATATAATTTGAAAAGTATCTATAAGGGATTTGGACACACCTTCCTTTTCCAAAGGTTAGTTTTCCTTCTTTTCCTACCATTTCAAGAATACTATAGGAATTATTGTTTTTTAATTATTTAAGACTTTGTCTAAAATAATGTTTGGGTCCTTCACACAACCACCAAATGATAACTTTAAAAGTAGTCACAATGTCTATAGTTGCCATCAGTAAGTCCACACTCCCGCCTTTAAGTCGGTCTTTTAACTGACAATACAATTGCATTGTTAACAAAGCCTTTTTCTCCAAATCATAGGACCACATGGAGTAAATCAGCTTATCTATGTCATGGGAATGTCATGGGCTTTATTTTTTAAGCAAGAATTCACAGGTTCTGTCCCTAAAAGAAAGAAAAAAATTAAAAGAGGAGCTTCAGATTTTACTATATATGCTTTGCCATTTAGGTTAATTTCCTTGGGACTATTTCAACTTCTCAATGTTCAAAATATGATACCCAGAAATGAACACAGCATCCTAAAAGTAGTCTGACCTACTCAGAACACAAAGATTCTTACATCTTTTAGCTGGATGCTATGACGCTATGAAAACTTAGTATGGCATCATATCCAATATTAATACTTAAAAGATCAGATTCTTTTATCCCATAATTGTTATTCCTCTTTAAAAAATATTTATTTTGGGGCCCTCCCTGGTGGCGCAGCGGGTTAAAGCACTGCACTGAGAATCTAAAGCCACTTCCGCATGAGTTCGAT